CTAGCATCGGTGGCATATCGATTAGGACGCTCGCCAACCATACACATGGTCCGGGGTTCAATTCCCGGCCGACGAACTCCTTTACCTCGATAAGCCAGAAATAATGCTGGTAAAGAGGAAAGTTTGAGCATGAGGCTGACAACCCCATCCTGTAAAATAAACATTGCTACAGAAACTTCAAGCCACTATCTTGAAGCTCTATATTCCACTGGGGAACGCGAAGGAAAAAAAATAGACAAAATCCAAGGAAACAGCTTTCAGTTAACTTCGGTGAAATTGTTGAAATACTAACCAACATGATCTGGATAAACATAATGCCTTAGCTTTCTAATACCACACTATTTGGATTAAATTCAACTGCAGTAATGCCATATCGGTTACTTTAAAAAATATGCAAATGGTCAACAAACTGGCACTGATGAAGTAACTGATAGAAATTCATCACTAACTAGGACGACTGCGGAACACTATTCAGACTAACTAATATGGTCGGATTATGTTGTCCATAGTGTTGATACTTTATAGTCAGCTATTTGTATCGCTATTTTATGGATGGATCAAGTAAACTGAGAATGATGCAACTAGATCAAAGGATGAGTAATTACTTTCTTTATGATTTTCGTAACAAATCATTTCAGAAAGCATCACTTTCCTTAGATTTTGTCATTAATGTCGAATATTTGAGAGAAATGCATCACATACTGATTTCTAGTCCTCTTATATCATTCTGTTGTGTAAAGTTATTAACTGAAACGACTAGTGTTGCAAACTCCTACTTTAAAACAGTTGATTGTAAGGAACTCTTGTAGTTAACAGTGACTACGCTTTCGATGGTAGGACATTTTGAAGTGACCTTAGGCTATCAGACTGTGTCTGGTCTTATAGGTGATGACTGAAGACTGACAGAAAATCTTGGTCAAGCCATATTTGAACCAGTGGACACCAAATTACTAATCTGATACCCTGTCAGCTGACTTACAAGTTCCAACCGCTAGTCAGAGCACAATTTCACTGCAATTTTTAAAGTTTTTTTTTACTGAACCGTATGCTTTATTCATGAAATTTTCATTCCCATTAAAGATAAAAATCAGTCCTTACTTAAATAGTAAACTGTGAAGCTAAAGTAACACGACAACAAGGACAAAAACAGTATCAGAAACTTAATGAACTCGAAAGTTTACGTACTACTGACTTCATAAGTGAAAGTACTAAGTGAAACCAGAAAATGATTAATTTTATTTCATTTCATGCTTTGTTTTTTAGAGTGACTTTTCTTCAAACCAAACAGATGTGAACACCTGTTATTCTTAAAGAGTCTGATTAATTTCTGTATTTGTGTTGTCTTTATTTTCTGTTGGAGACAAGAAACAATCAGTCATTATTTGAAATTTCACCAACAATTACTGATGAATGTAAAACTACAGAGATTATTTTCTACCGACTAGTTCGTAAAAAAAGAATTATAATCACACACACAAAATAATTGTAGGAGACGAACAAGTCTAATTTTCTAATCTTTAACAAAGAATATATGTTATTACCAAAGAAGGAAATTTAAGCTATGTAACATCAGATATTTTCAGACAAGATGTTTGGCGATTTTATCGTGGAAAGATAACTTGGTTAGAGGCTGGATACCAGAATGCAGCACTGAACCACGGCCTTACATCTGTCTGTTCATGCTTGACACCTATCTAGTTTGCACTAACAACTGCGCGGCAGATTTAATGCAAGACTGCCCGCTCTTGTGATGGCCATTCCACTGGTCAACAACTGGAATCGAGTTCAGTGGTTTGTGATTCGCTATATTTTACACATGTCAGCTAATCTTATCTGATAGCAGATTCCTTAAGATCCTATTGACAGAAATCCAGTAGATTGATTTGCAGGCTACTGACTGTTTTGAAATTCCCTTCTTGCAAGTTTATGGGTGAAAAATATTTCTGAGTTGGAAACTAAGCCGAAAATGATGTCGAACATTTTTTCTTGTATCTAATGCTGTAGCACGAAAACAGTAGCACTGAAATATCATTTTACGTGAAACAAAGCGGAATAAAGTATACCGAAACCGAAGACAGATTTTGTGTCTAATTTGTGTCGTTTCAGTAAAATTTGTTCTGTCAATAGGTGGTAGAGATGAAAAATATTGACTCAGAATAGACTCTGTTCTCTATATTAAAATAATTGGTAATATATATCCTAGTACTGGGCATTGGAGTGTTCTATTCCCACTTATTCTACTATTTTCTTTACTTTATCATAGTTCTTTTCTTACTTATGTGTTGTATCTTTTGTTACCTTTTGTTTGCATATGGTACCAGTCATAGTAATTATGCTGCTAAATTTTCAAAGATATCATATGACCTACAGTTTTCCAAAGTATAAACAACGTTTCATATCAAAGTGTAGATACAGAAAACTGGTTAGTCCCTCTAGCAGAGATTAATTCTTCTTTCTGTAACAGAGATTACAAAGTAATGTTATAGGTCGAACACATTACTACTCTTTTCGCTTATAAAATAGTCATGGCTGTACTTCATGCAATAGAAATTTCAAAGATGTCTGTGGGGTTCTAATGAGCCTATTTGTTATGATTAAATTTAATTATCAACATATTTTTAATGTCAATTATAAATGAATGAATAAGCCAAATATTGTCTATTAGTCTACGATTTAAGTCATCCGTTGATTTAAAAGACACTCTAAATGTAAGAGACATTGAAATTCATTAAGAAGAGGCATATTTTGAATTTAGAAAGAGTACTAGTAAGAGGAATAGATATATGGCACACCTAGCGTAATTCAGTCTAAACTAAATTACCTTTATTACAGGTTTCCAGACCGTAGGTGTTATGAATTTCCTAGAATAATTTGCGCGCCGAGTCAGATTGATTCATTATAAATTATTTAAATTAATCCCAGCGTGTTAGGAAAATCAAAACAAGATTTTTCTGAACGTTTGAATCCGAATAAATCTGCTGAAGAAGCTGTGGCTTACACGGCGAAACGTCCAGAAAAATCTTGTTTTGATTTTCCTGACAGGCTGGGATTAATTTAAATAATTTATAATAAATTACCTTTATGTATATTCGGCATATATTACTTGATATTTCGTCTTGAAATTAAACAAATCTCTAAAAATCCAACTTCCAACTACCAACTTTTACTGTTCTGTAAAAGCATTTCGGTCATTTTGGGGTCTAAGACTGATGCGTAGACTATATAAGGAAAGCAGACAACAAGATATTCTTTATCCATGTTCATTATCGCATGTTTAATACAGTCAGGAATTCCTTTGTCTTGAGAAGCTGACTGTTATGAATAAGTGGACCTAGATATCAGTTAGGCAGTTCTGTAGACCTATACCTTATTAGGTAACCAATATTTCGTATAAAACATTTTCTTAGCACTGTTGCGTCCTCCTTAAAATATGAAACAGAAGTGTCAACTGAATTCCATCGTTCTTAAGAGCCACATCGTTTAAAAATGGAAGACGATAAGCTTACTGACTGTGGCTATGGATGGACAATCTTGTACCACATTTACCTTAGCAAATCTATGGGTAAAATGAATGACAAATAGTTCCAGTATGTTAAAACAAATATTAGAAGCAATGATTGTTATCAGTCGTTTACAGAAAGCCATTATGGAGTTTACCTCTTCAAATTGAGTTAATTCATTCTACTGATCAGATGAAATGTATGATTCACTGAATATTATCGAATTTCAATATTCATCAAAAACGAGGTAAGATTATACGAAAAGGAAATCATCAGACCATCACTCCAAATCACCAAATATGAAATCATTTAATCCCTAATACTAATCAACAGATTGCCTCATATCTTTCAATCTTATGTGGGACTATTACACATATATTTTTTATCACTTTGCGTTCCCAGTAGAACATAGGGTTTCAAGTTTTAGCTTAGAAGTTTCTGTAGCAGTGGTGTTTTATTATACGGTGCGGTCGCTAACCTCACGCTTGACCTTCACTCTTTGTCGGGATTGTAATGGGCTAAGTAGGTAAAGGTGTGCGCCGGCTAGGACTTGAACCCCGGATCACGTGCATGGTCGGCCAGCGCTCTACTGCTGAACTAACGACGCATTAGTCAATTTTATGAGGTATTATTCGTTGTCTTCCTTAACAAATCTGAAACACTGAAGAGTAGATACATAATGAACATTATATATATATATATATATATATTAGAGTGAAGAAAGTAAATTTTTGTCTACTATAACAGTAAAATGCTTTCAAGAAACTGTCTGTTTCAGTTGTTTTCACGATGTTTGCATTAAAAGTTTTGAATGGTTTAGTAATGTCCACTTGCCTCATGATATGAATTAAAGACATCAACAGATAAATCACAATGAACAGTAAACCGACATTTGTTTCGTCAAAACCACCGAATTATGAACATTCACGACTCCTGTCTAGAGGTCTCTCAGTAGTCGTGTTATCAGTTAACATCCTGAATCTTATAACTTCACTCCTTCTACTAACACATTTCTTTACACCTGAATGTTAGTATTTCACACATAATAGATAACAATATCCAACAGTTTTAAAGGGAGGAAAGGCGAAGCTTCTTATATTTTTTTCAAACTAATGCAAATGCTAATTGGTGGGTGGTGAGTAGTAGTGGAATCCAAGATGCGTATTTCGTCCTATTTGGGACCCGTCACTGGATGTACCTGCATTCCTCAGTGAGTGACGATTTTCCCACCGAGGCTTGAACCCAGTTCCCATAGTTTCAAACGCCAAAGCGTTATCCCCTACACCACTTGAACCACGACAGCCACCTCTCGTGCGACGGGTCATGTTAATTATTTAATTCAATTTTAGATTTTTCCCGTTGATTGATCAAGCATTACGGCCCAATCAGTCGACGGAAAAATCTAAAATTGAAATAAATAAACCAAATGCTTTCAAAAAGCCTTTCTTACGTTCGTCAGCTTTAGTCCATTAACAAAAATAAGAATATTCCAGAACTTACAGTAATCTTTTGAATTAATATTTCATAAATTGGTATTGGATATTGCAATTCATATGTGAAATGATTATCGGTGAAACCCTTAGAATAATCATACGTTTTGTCATACAGATCATCATTTTGCGCTAGAAATTGAAAATGTTGACTGAGTTGAGTTGATCCATTGTTGACATTGACAAACAATATAAACAGAAGGACATAAATATATTTTGTTTGGATTTGTTTTATTGAGAACATCATTTTTTGTTTTTGTAGAGTGAAATTAAAACACGATAGTCCGATTACATAAATGAAATTATACAGATTATCATTTTAACAGTTTTCAAGGCTATCTATCTAAGTTTTATGTGCTGATATATATACGAGCGTACAATGTTTATACACAATATGGTGCACAATTTGTAACAATGTTCATGTCCTTTCCTTTCAATGTAGATGTGTATGGGTGTGTACAAATAGCGTATGACTGGTTGTGTGCAATAATGAAAAATGGATTTCCTAATCTGTTTTATTTCGCTTAATCATCTAGGCACACCACTAAATATAATTGGTGCATTTAATATCTTATTTTACGTAGCCTGAAAAAGGTCAAGTATAAAACAAGGAATTTCATACGTGGAAAAAACCAGACTTGACATCATTCACGTATACAGGGAATAGAATTATAGTACTGAAAAGAATTTCTGGCTAAATTAACACTAGATTACATGACCTAGTCATTTTTACGTATAGCTAAGACAAATTCTTAATTAATACGTCTGACGCAGACTTATAGTGGAAGCGCACTATGAGCTATCTAAAATGATTACATAACAGTGACACTAATAAGATTTAAGGTAACAATCAGAACTTTAAACTTTGAGGTGGTACAAAGAGGGTTGATGAATTTCGTTAGGAATAAATTTTAAGATAATTTCTAGTTATTACTTTACATTTCGCTACTTTCAGTTTCTTTTTAAGGTATCCAACTTAGTAGATCCCTCTCTGAATCTTCGAGGAAACAAAAAAAGCTGTTCATTACTGAAATGTTGGTACCAGTTCAGAAAAATTCTCGATGATTAAAATCCAAAATCATGCGACTATCATAGTTTTAATTCCCGTCCAACTGTTTCAGCCTAAACAATCCAATAAAGTTATCAGCCTTAATACAGTGAGCACGTATCATAGTCATGTACATGGAAAGGCTCAGTTTTAACCAGGTAACTAGCAGAATACAGAATGACTTGTGTCTTCTTATTCAAAACTTTTAACTCATGTCAATGTGATAGATAATACTTAGTAAACTTCTTATTTAAGATAATTTTGATTCATGAAAATTAAATAAACTTATAAATCTCATGAACTCGATCCAGTTGCAGCCAAAAGCGATGTGCAGTTCAGGTCGTAATCTAATCGCTTTGCAATACAAATGCCAGCTTTTTAAATTTTACTGGAAAACATTCTCCCTCCCACTTTACTTGGCTCACTTTACATGAATACTATTTTCACCACTCTATTCGGAATATTAGGCATGACAGTGCATTCTGATTCGACTCAATCAAGTGAAAAGAGGAGTCTATTACCTCATCATTTGTTTAGTCTCAACAACTTTCCAGGTATCACTCACTTTTTTGCTCTTGTAACGATTTCTGAATCTATCCTACCATCCCCTTGCTTATAATACTCTGACGTAAGAATCAAGTATGGTTCGGGAGGGATAAGGCGATATGCTTTTTCAATTCGGCAACATGATAAATCACAAGCAAGTGTACTTAATAGTCCTAAATTGAATTACAAAATCGAAATGACATCCAGGTCAAGCTAATCTAATAGAGTGGAAACAACACACTGAATATAGGCTAAGCATTAATAATTCAGGAGTCTAAATCAATTCGGTACGCCAAGGAAAGTACATTCACAATTTTCACTATGATACGAAACGTTACAAGCTATTTTTTCTAAAAATCCTCATATTATTAATACGTGTATTTATTTTCTAACCTACTGTTCGCTACTCTTTTTTAAATCCTTATTAGTATGGTGCGATTTTATTTTTGTTTTTATCAATGACCAGATATAAACCCACAACATTCTACTATTCTTAATGAGTATTGATGTATTCACAAGGTTAATAAATAGCTTCGACTATGACCAAATATTGTTTGAGCTATAATCAGATTAGTTTATTAGCCTAGGAGAATTATAAGTGATTTAAAAATGCTACTTTAAGGTCAACAAAACAACGGCCTCCATTAGTTCTCGATGAAAGCTATATCGTAATACTAGCTAAAATTCTTCCTAAACTTATGTTATTTTTTTAACGCAACGAAGACATAATAGAAGAAATCTACTTCTTATTGCAGATTTTCTAATATTTGAATAACAATCCAAGTTTTTACAGTTGGTTCCCTTGATAAATTTCGACAAAGAAAGGAAGACTAAATTTGCAGTATAAAATGATATCATTCTATTTCACAGGTTCTCATCAGCTGCAGACTACCTGAAATTACAATGGTTATATAGGTGATAATAACATACTTTTATGTTTGAGTGGTGGTAGAGAAGAGATACTATAAAATTGACGTATTCAAAATGAAAGCATTACAGTGTTTTTAGTTTAAGCTTTTATCACCAATTTATACGCTTTTAAAGTTGAAAAGAGGGGGAGGGGTAAGGCGGAAAACAGAAAAATTGATTAACAGATCAGTGTTAGCCTGTAGGTTCACAAAGCACCTCAAGAAACAAAAACGGTTACAGTTTATGAGATTAAGATTTGTTCGGTGAGTTGAGATCACTGAATTAGATGACTAATCAAAATCAAAATTCTGTTACCAAGGGAGTGAGAGGTTAATCACACTCTCTTTCTGTATGCATAAGTCTGGTTGAAGTCTTCTGATTGCGATCGCTTCGGCAAATCGTAGTAAATTTGCTATCCATTGTCAGTTTAATATTTTGAAGGACTTAGAAATCTCTACGAGATGTCCAGTGTCAATAATATCTCTGGTAATTGCACTCTGAGAATATCTGCTTCCTTTCAGGCACAGTTTTCTTGGAATATGTTCAGAAAACCTGATAGAATCCCTTCTTTCTGTCCTTCCAATATACTTGCTCCCGCAAGTGCACGTAAATTCATAAACGCAGTTGAAGGTGACATTAGCAGGGTATTGATCCAGTTTTGAGTGGATTATAGAAGGAGTGGTGCTGTATACTGTTATGAGTTTTTCTGCCTGGAAGCTTCTATTTTTTGCACCTTTCAGTCTTTTGTCAATCTTTTGTGATACTGCATCTCCTTTGAATGGGAGAAAAATAAACACTTTTCTTTTCTACAGTTGGATGCTTTTCTTTCTTATCTTTTTCTCTGCTATACTTCTGTATAAATCCCTTAGGGTATCCATTTTCCCTTAGGCATTTCTCGACGAAATCTAATTCTTCTTCGACCTTGTTTGATGAACATAGCTTCCTGGATCTTCACTAATCCACGTTTATAGCTTATGAGACAAAAGCTGTTATAGTGAAAATATTGTCCAGTCCAGGTTTCTTTTCTATAGATGGAATTTTCGACCGTGCCTTCGTTTGTTCTTTTTACATTTAGATCCAGGAAATTGAACTGATTTTTATGTTCATATTCCATGATGAATTTAATATTTGGATGGATCTCATTTAAGCGATCATATAAAGCCGATGCATGATCCATATCGGTGCAAACAACAAATGTGTCATCAACATGTTGGCGATAGTAGGTTGTTCCATCGATAGCAGAACTTAGTTGTGTCTGCTCAAGGTAGCTCATGAAGATATCAGCCAGGATAGGTCCCAGAGGCGAACCCATCGCGACCCCATCGATTTGTCGGTAAAGTTGATTGTTGGATTTGAATTGTATATCTTTTGTGCAGAGCAGTAGAAGTCGCTTCATCTCTGTTTCCGATAATGGTAGTAGATCCGTTTGTTTACAAATTATATCAATTTTTTCCATCAGTGGTACATTTGTAAACAAGGAGGTCACGTCTTACGATACCATGAGTTTGTCTGATATGTCGATATTGTCAACTTCCTTGGAAAATTGATAACTATCCTTCAGGCTGAGAACCTGTGAAATAGAATGATATCATTTTATACTGCAAATTTTGTCTTCCTTTCTTTATCGAAATCCAAGTTTTCCCTTGATAAATTTCGATAAAGAAAGAGAGGCCAAGTTCGCAGCGTTATATTATATCATTCTGTTTCACAGGTGCTTATCATCTGCAAACAGACTGAAATTACAATGGCTGTACTAAGTGACAATAATGTACATCAATGTTTGAATGTTAGGAGAGGAGATATTATAAAATTAACGCATCTGAAGTGTATGCATTACAACTTTTAGTCTAGTTTACCATCAATGTATATACCTTCGAAATAAAAAGGATGGGCGGAGAAGATAGAATATAGGAAAAATACAAGAAATAGTGTTAGGTTGTAAGTCTACAGAGCAACTCATCAAGGCTTTAGTTCATATGATTCAAAACTTGCTCAGTGAGCTAGGATCACTAGTGTGGATGACTAATTATTGTACTTAAAATGCAGTTACCAAAGAAGTGAGAGGTTGATTACACTTTCTTTCTGTGTGCGTAAGTTTGGTTTGAAGTGTTTTATTGTAGTTGCTTTAGTATGTCGTGGTAAATTTGCAGTCCTTTTCATGTTTAACATTCTGAAGAATTTAAAACTCTTGGCGAAGTGACCCGTATACACAAGAGGTCCAGTAATTTTACTTTGTGAATATCTGCTACCCATTAGGCACAAGTTTCTTGGGACATGCTCGGAAAACCAGATAGAAACCCTTCTTCCTGTCCTTCCAGCGTAAGTTTATAAGCACAATTGGGGGTCTTTCTTTATTGAAATCCAGTTTTTTTCCACAATTTCCATAATCGTATTCAATCTTCACACTGAATCAGTGTCATTTGCCTCAAAAGCATTCATCTTGAGCACATGAAATTCATCGGATGATTCTGAATTTATGTTTCCATTCTCTTGGCCTAAAAAATGGAACATAGGACTTCAACGGAACACCTCCATTCCATTCTATTCTCTGCAGCCCTCTTTGGCTGAACCTACAACTGCCCGTTAGCTCTCATCTGCGCTCACGCAACCTCCTTCATATCACCATGGTCGGCCCCGATTGCCGTTCCCCATTTGTGTTCAACTCGAGAGTATGCCAGGCGATGTCCTTCAGCGGTTTTCCTATTGTGTGTCAGATTCATTTCCATTTCCTTCAACATATTCGTTCGGCGATAAGCTCTTGGTTGGGTCGTTCGCTGAGTCGTTCATTGCTAATCCTTCCTGACCGTCTCATCTTCAATATGGATCGAAGGAAGTTGCTGATAAAAGTCTGAAGCCTAATGCAAATCCTTTTGGTGACATGCCGTCTCTGAACCATGTGGAGGAAGTGATTTAATATAAGTGCTGAAAATTCAGATCTTGTTATTTGCGCTGAGTACAATAAATTTACAAAGTGATTCTAGTGTAAAGAATGTCTGTCTTGCT